AATTTTAAGATGGACTTCAAAACCAGTTAAACTCAGAAGAGTCAATCCTATGTCTTGCGTAAAGTTATTACATTGAGGGTTTGTGGTTGGAATTGTTTGATAAGGGGAAAAGACATGGCTAATCACATGCCACAGAAAATTATACACATTGTCTGCGGCCCCAGTGGAGAAGATTAGCAGTATTGGCAAATGATAAACAAGAAATCAAAGTGACAGCATGTTAGTATTCAGGCTAGCATGCAAGATGACAGTGAGCTTAGATCACGCAACTTACATGTGTTTCACTGTATATGATTGTCAGTAAACGTTGATGGGAATGAATAAGTCAACAATATAATTTGCAAATGAGTCCACAGACGTAGGGGCTGGGGGCCAATGCCCCCCCCTGAAAAGATAGTGGGGGGGCCAATTGCCACTACTTCTGGAAGTGAGTATAATTCTAAGCCTAAAAGCATATTTGGCATCAGTGTCGAAGTACACATGATTTTGATTAAAAATCCTAATGCCATGTGGATTTTTCACTTGTGACTGGTGCGTGGTAGTTTTGTATCAATGAAACAAATCTTTCAAATTCTGTGGGGAGTACTTTTATTAATGACTAGTGATTTGTGTGATAAAAAAGAAAGGACAACCTAATCACATTCCTCATAGACTTGTGTGGGTACTAATCGTACTTCCTCTTTATCAGTTTTATTTATTTTTAAATGTGTTAAGCTGCAAAAAATATTTTGCCACTCTGCAAGACTGAAATAAGCAAGCCTGTTAGATTGAACACTTGGCCAAACATGGACCAGTCATTAACACAATAGCTTCCCACTTCTACCATATTGTCCTCCATTCCCCAATGCCCGTCATTGCCTGTCTCAATTCCCCCAGATGGGCCGTGCTTGATTAGACCAACATGCTGTATAATCACAGCCGTTAACCACGCTCTGCACGCGCGCATGCATGTACATGTAGATTGTACCTCGGGGTGCTCGTGGCCTGACCACCATGGATGAGTCATACAGGCCCTTGTTATCTATCCTCTACATCCATTTTTTACCTCCATCTTAAAGAGCGTAACTGATCTGAGTGAAACCTGTTTGAATGCAGTATGCTTGGATCAAAGGAGCAGTTTTCTTTTTTTACCAGTCATTATTAATCACGGTACTCCTCCCTAGAATTTGTTGAAGATTTCTTTCACTGATATGAAAATTTGACTAAGGTGGATGACTCATACCAATACCAATGTATTTGTAATCTAAGTGCAATATTTCAGTTGGATAGATTATTGTAGCAAAAGACACCTGTAACTATAAGAATCAAGCCTCAAATTTCTTTATGATTACTGGCAATTTGAATATTTCAATTTAATTTGTTAGACTGTAAATGGATTGATTTTTCATATTTAACTTCAGGTAATATCATTTTATCTCTAATTTTCTTTTTAAGTGAACAAAGAACATTTCTATGTGAAATTGTACAAAATAGGAACCAGATGATGAGTTCTTAAAAGCCAAGTTTGAGGCAACATAATGTACCTCATGACACACCTGTATTAGGTCATTGACAAGAGTGATCTTTTTGTGCAAAAAAAAATATAATTCTGAGAGACCTTAACATTGTTTAATCTGTATAGCCTTTGATAAATTGATTTGTTGCTGAGTTCTCCTTGATTTCTCCTTGGCTTTTAAAGATATGAAATTCTTTCAGATGCACATTAAGTTTGTCTTCAGTGTGAAAACTACATGCTGACTTAATTTGTAAATTAAAAGGTACAGATGAAGACATGATCATCAAAAAGTTGAAGAGGTTATAAGAGGTAACAAGTTTAAGGAGACGTAGATGTCTTTTAAGAAGTACAGTACACATCACTAATGAATTTTCTCCCTCCTGCTCAACTGTCCTTGCGATGAAGTACCAGGCTGTCAGTCTCTCCACATTGCACTCATCAACAGTGAATGCCGAGCATACGTCATTTATTCCAAAGCACTTTTGGCATTCCCCGAAGTTCGTCCTCATTAAATGCATGGTTCACTGCAATGGTTATATTCACAGATTGAGATATTTTCGGTCATTCCAGGAATGATTGACGGCCACTTCATAGATTGAGCATAATGATTTATTCAGGGATGGATTATTATAAACAAAAAATAAAGGGTCTGTCCATGCACTCGAGTCATCCCAGTTGAAGTGATTGGTTTTCCACCAAAATCAAGTTATGGGCATAATCAAGTTGCACAATTGCAGGCTGAATAAACTGATCTTGGGAAGTGTAAATGCTGAATGGCATGTGGCCATGGCAGTATCCATATCTGATGTCTAGAGCTACATGTACATGTCGGTGTAGTTTCTTGGCCAATGACAAATGTGTTGGCACGGTTACATGCTGACATCAGACCAAGCCCTTGCTGTGGCTGGAAGCCTGTTAGGGACACACCTTTTTCCTTGCCAAATTAGTGGTCAAACCTGATCATTCATTCTGCTAGTTGTACTTGTTAAGGTTTTTCTGTCTAAAAACTGTGAACAAGAATTGTTTGAGGGTCATGAGTAGATTGCCATTTTGTAAATTAATTTTAGCCTTAAGGTAATGACATTGAAGCAGACTATGCTTGGAGATTTTCTCTGTATGGAATATAGCACATTGAGTTTATCATGGACTGAGATCAGCAAGTGTACTACCTGTATGCATGTACTTATGCATGTAATGCGATGTGAATATTTAGTCATCCTCTTTAATTGAAGGGCATGGTTTGTTTAGTTTCCTGTGTTTGTTTGTTTGTTGGGGTGTTGGGGTGTTTGTTTGTTTTTAATATGTGGCAGGATTGGATGAACATTTCTGTCTGTCAGCCAAAGAGAGTACATAGAGTGATACAAAGATTCGTTCCTGATTATGTATATGCTGTGGAGCATCTGAAGAGAAATTCATGCATGGATGAGCTGTGTAGGCAGCTGCAACATGCTGGCTACATCGATCTTACCTGAATAATTCCAGACTGGATGACCGATGTGATTAGCTGTGGCTCCAAGGCTAATCATCCCTCCATCTTAAGGACATACATGGCAGCTCTGACGTCAGTAATGCAAGAGTAGAGCACTTAGGGAAAGAGGAAAATGTGTGCTTGCAATAACAAGTAGGAGACGGGGGTATAAAAGAGGAAAGAGAAGATGGCTGTTGAGGTGAGAGGATGAGGTGCAAACATCTGCTCAGAGAAGGAAGAGGAGATGAGACGGAAGCAGAGAAGTGAAGTGAAAGAAGAGGAGAATAGGTTGAGGATGCAGGGATTTAGGCCCTTGAATTGGAGATTCACATACAGAGTTCCTGTAAACATGTGGGGGCCCTTCTGCATCTTTACAGGATGCAGAAAAGGGATGTTAAAGAGAAGAATTGCTTGGGGGTGCAGGGCTATGTGGTAGGCTCTTGAATTTGTGATTCTTTTATTGTAAATGCAGTGGATGTTAGACAGGTATATTTTGGGTTTTCCTGTACACTTGTGGAGCCCACCTGTATCTTTAGGGATCTTGGAAGGGGAGTTAAAGAGAATTGTTCGGAGATGCAGCTGGACCTGGAAAAGGATCTGCCTTTGGGAGTAAATACAGTGGACATAATTCATGTTCATCCTCAATGCATAGTGACTTGTCAGAGCTCACCTGCATCGTTAGAAATGGGTGAAATATAATACATGTACAAGCCACATAGACAGAATCATCTTGAATGTATTTATAGGAAGTGATTAAAACAACCCACCTGCATACTATAGGGATGGAGGAAATAGGTGAAAGTCACTATTGATGAGTCAATTTACGTGAAGGCAGCTGTTTGGAAAAGTAATTTGTGTTTGAGAGCTTTGGAGTTTGGAAATTGAGCTGTTAATTTGGAAGAAGCCAAGTGGATTAGTTCTTTTGAGTATCACTTTGTGATTGTCTCTGAATTGAGTATTCATAATCCTTCACTGTATATATCAAATCCTGTCAGTAACATGAACACCTTTTCATTTCAATCACAGCATTTCATCCTGCTGTGGTGATAGATTTCCCCTCCCAAGAAGCCACTGCCTCGCCATCCCTTCATGAAACCAATATCTCTGTGCTGTCACCCAAGCCACATTCAGTCACATTGTGTGGTTGCTAATGGGTGAAATGAGCTGCTTTCCTGCCACTGTCTGTGTGAAATTAATTTATTCATTGCAAGCACACTGCGGGTCTCAGGTGGATTGATTTGACTGATGTGCTGCCACAAACAACTCCGCCACCCCCAAAGAAATTTGATTTGGAATGCAGAATCGTTACTTTTTGTGGTTGTGTTGTGTTCTGGTCAACCATGAAGCAATCTGTCACAGTGGAAATTTAATCCTTCCTATTCTGTCCTCAAACAATAATGCTTTTACAATAGTGAATGAGTCACCTTGGCATTCACCACACAAAACGTTTAATCGATTGATCAAATTTCACCCTCGGTGAAGACTCTGATTGCATCAGAACGTGGCTTCTTAACTTCTCATACATGTTGGTGGATGAACTGAGTTTCAGCATTATAGATGTTAGCACTTATAATTACAGTACACATTTATGATAAATACTCTAAGGGCATAACATTTGAGCTCAACTGAGTTGATAAAAACCCACCTTTTCAAGATTTTTTACAGTGAATTTGGAGAAATGCCAAAATCTCCATCAGAACATGGTGTAGTTTTTCAAAAGTGTGTAACTTTCACTGTGCGATGTTTTTATCAGCATTCACAGTTTGAATTCATCATGACTGTGTATAGAAAGCAGCTTGACTTGAGTTTGTACAGAATCTTTCTTTTAAACTCAAAAGTCTGCAATTGTGCCATGCTGGATTACACGTGTTATGCCAACATATCAGTCCTGAATATAAATTTTTGGTCTGAATGCAAGATCAATCAGTCTGACTTTGCAAAGAATAATGTTTATCTGATGTAAGATTTCTGCATGTTTAGAAACATCATGAGGTTTTGCTTATTTGCTTCAAAGAGATGTCTTTTTGTCTTTTCTAGACCCTTGACATCATGTTACCATTGTGATACAGCAATTTCACTGTCCCTGTCGCTATGGCCGCGACACAGAGTCCAGTTGTCAAGCAAATCGACAAGCAGTTCCTGGTTTGTGGCATCTGCCTAGAGCGGTACCACACCCCCAAGGTCTTACCCTGCCTCCACACCTTCTGCCAGAAGTGCCTGCAGAACTACGTGCCCGCCGAGTCCTTGACCCTCTCCTGTCCGATCTGCCGGCAGCAGTCCATCCTTCCCATCGAGGGCGTGACCGGCCTGCAGAACAACTTCTTCATCACCAACCTGATGGAGGTGTTGGAAGGGCCGGACAGCAGCAGCGGGGACGAGGGGGCCAGTGGGGGAGACCAGCCCTACCACGTTGTGCCTTCTTGTTCCAGTCACGAGGGGGAGCCCTTGGATTATTACTGCGATGACTGTGAGACTGCAGTGTGTGGAGAGTGTACTATGTCAGAGCACGTAGACCATCCTACGGTACTCCTTAGTGACATCATCGATGAACATAAAGAGGTGCTGAGGAATATACTAGACAAGGCAAAACACCAGGTAAAAAAGTTCTGAAATGTTTGCAGACCTGCCAATTTCTAGTGGCAGCCAAATGAACTTTGTAGAAGCTTTGAAGGGGTAAATATTCTATTTTGGAAATCAGATTTGCACACAAGATCCTTCAAAATCTCGTAGTTACGACTTTAAATCATGAGATTTGGAGTTTAGAGAATTTGCCCGGTTCTTTCACCATAAAAGTCCAAATAGTAATTCAGTGGTTGAACATATACATGTATGAAACTGGTTAAACGAAAACTTAATTCTTAGTCACACCATTTCAGAAAGTTTATCCCAATGAAAAATTCTGTCATTTTCAACAAGCTGTAATTTGGTTCAGTCCTTGCTGCGGTTTTATATTTCATGACAACAAAATACCATCAATTTCTGGATTGTTTATTTATGACTCAATCATTTTGGGTTTTTCCTGTGAAATTGGTACATGAAATGCATGCTTTGGACACACCCAAATTTAAATTGTTTTCTTTCTTGATATGTAAACAATGTGTGTCCAGATTCCACGCCTGCAGGATGCCATTGAGCAAGTAACAGTCATCAATGGGAGTCTAGAAGAGAAGAAGACAAAGGCCGAGACAGAGATCCTTACCTCGTTCGACACCCTGGAGCGAAGCATCCGCAACAGAAAAGAGACGCTGATTAAGGAGCTAAAATCTACCCATGAATCCAAGCAGGAGGTACTTCACAAGCAGCAGGAGGTCCTAGAGCAAGAGTTGCTCAGTATTGAGCATAACTGCGACTTCACTGAGCAGGCGCTCAGGAGCGGGAATGAGATGCAGATCCTGCTGGTCCGCAAGCAGATGGGCCAGCGGCTGCGCGAGCTGACGGAACAATGCACCCAGCTCCAGCCGCAGGAAAATGACTTCATCAGCTTCATTGGCTGCATGGGGGATATGGAGAAGACCTTGTCAAACCTGGGCATGGTACGCAGCAACAGTGCCGTTGCTCATGAGACGGTGGCAGTCGGGGAGGGGTTGAAGCGGGCCTTCTGTGGGGAGCAGATGGTGGTTACCATCACCACCAAGAACTACAGAGGAGAGCTAGTGACAACCGGAGAAGCTGAGGTAACAGCTGAGCTGCATTCTGGAGATGGAGAGGTTCATGATGCACGTGTCATCGATAACAAAAATGGTACTTACGATGTTCTGTATATGATCCCAAGAGAAGGATCCCATCAACTGAGCATTAAGCTGTTTGGACGAAATATAAGAGGGAGTCCCTTTAAGTTACGTGTAATGCGCGAGAGCAGTTCTTCCAGTCCCAAGTCACCAACCAGCAAGATCCCGCGGAGTAATGTCAAACAGCGTGCTATGAGGAGACCACAGAGTGCCGCCGGATCACTCAGAGTCTACCGTAAAACCAACCCCATTGAGGATGATCTGGTGCTGATCATTGGCCAACGAGGGCGCAACAAGGGGGAGTTTACCAACCCTCAGGGCGTGGCCAGCACCGCTGCCAATGGTGGGCGGATTGTGGTTGCCGATAGCAATAACCAGTGCGTGCAGGTCTTCACCAATGGCGGAGACTGCAAGCACAAGTTTGGCATTCGTGGGCGGAGTAATGGACAGATGCAGCGACCCACGGGTGTTGCCGTTACAGTCATCGGTAATTATGTTGTTGCCGACTATGACAACAAATGGATCAACATCTTTGGACCTGATGGCAAATTCATCAACAAGATCGGAACGGGAAAGCTGATTGGTCCAAAGGGGGTCTGTGTGGATAGTAACAACAACATCATCGTTGTGGACAACAAATCCAGCTCCATCCTAATCTTCACGTCCAATGGCAAGCTCCTCAACAAGTTCGGCTCACGGGGTGCCGAGGACCAACAGCTCTGTGGGCCGCACTTTGTCGCCGTCAACAACAACAACCAGATTGTTGTCTCAGACTTCCACAACCACTGCATCAAGGTGAGTCCATTTCAATCTGGAACAGTTCATCTGCAAGAAAATGAGGGAGTATCTTCCAGTGCAGACCATTCCTGATGCATTGGATGTTCCTTTAAGGTGCATTTCGAAATAATAAGAATATGTCATGGGAAGAAAGCTGAGTTGTAATCATAATTAATTAATTTGATTAATGAAACCAGGCATTCCTTCCAAGTGCCCTGGACACTCTAGTTCATTATCCAGCAGAAACATACAAAGGGGAGACAGTGAGAAAAAATGACAGTTTCAGAGATTGAAGGAAAGGGTATAACTCAGACAGTCAAGTAGGAACTGATAACCCAATCCACAGGCTAGCATTGGTGGGATATGAACCCAGGGTCTAGAGGTGGCAGGTGGGGAAAGAACCACTACGACAACCTGGCTCCAGGTGGATCATTCAAAATGTTTTGATATTTGAAATGTGCCTGAAAAAAATATGTTACATGTAAATATATATGAGCTGAATTAACTAGTCAGGTTAGAGCTCATCAAGTAGCCCGATTCCTATTTTCTCCCCTTTTAGCCCAGCTCCTACCAGCCCTTTGACTGATGGTACCTTTGCACATTTCATTTCCTTTACCCCCAGGTGTTTGAGCAAGACGGTCAGCTGGTGAGCATGTTTGGGTCCAGGGGTGAGGGTAATGGGCAGTTCAATGCTCCTACAGGGGTTGCAGTGGATCTCATTGGTAACATCATCGTAGCTGACTGGGGCAACAGCAGAATCCAGGTAATATGTGTCTCTGTCAAAGAAACGTACCTTGTAATATTTTTTCTTGAAGTATACTGAGAACCTCCGTACTGTGAGTAACGCAAACAAACCCGGTTTTGATATGCGCGTCATGCACAAATATCCCCTCACCTGAGAACAACAAAAAAGGCTAAGCTCATGACTGCTTGGTTTCCACCTCCATCATTATTTGAAGTAAGAACAATGTAGAAACAGGTAACAGTCTACCCTTTCCCCTGGTATGTGCACACTTCGGGAGTTTTTGTTTCACACAGATGAGGATCCCAATCAGTGATCCAACACTGGTTCACTGATACAGAACCCACTAATGGATGGGTTATTTAAATCTGAAATCCATAATTCACAGTATGGTGTTAAATTAGAAGGATTTACAGTTTCCAAAAACATTAAGAAATGCTATTCATAATTATTGTTGCCAGATATCAAGGCACCTTCTTTTGCAGACCTCCTTCACTGTCAATGAAGCAGACTTTTAATTAGTGTTTGTGCATATTCAAATGGCAAAAAAACATCTTGATTATACTGTTCCTGAAGGCTACCATCTAGGAATCCTAAAGCTCTTTGTGCTTCTCTTCAGGAAACCAATGCAAAACTCTCCCAAGAAACATTTTTTTTAAATTCTACACCAGGCTTTACTGTCAGCTGGAAAGGGCTAACAGGGCAAATGTTGGTTACAAGTCCTTTTCTCAAGGGAGTATTCCACAAGACAAGCATGTTCCAAGGTTTTTAAAATCCCCGGCTATTAGTATTGTCACCTTTTCACAACCTCTTTGTCTTTTTTCCTTCTGTGATTCCTCTTTTCCTACCCATATCCCAAGGTCTTTGATCACACCGGCTCTTTCCTCTCCTACGTCAACACCACTGGTGATCCACTCTACGGTCCCCAAGACCTAGCCGTGACCAGTGACGGCTACGTAGCGGTAGCCGACTCCGGTAACCACTGCGTTAAGGTATACAAGTACTTGCAGTAGAAGGTGCGCGAGTGTCCCTATGTTCCATGCAGAGGGCTGCTGGATATGCTGTGTTGTGGGAGCCCCATTAGAAGTGGGACATGGCAGACGTAGACACAAAGAGCTGGTTATGATACCCTGGTCGGCCCCACATTGAGGAAACAATTTCTTTAGTTAGATAATTTGGGACCGAGCTGCGGAGACAAGAATATGTCCCCACAACAAATGTGTCCCTCAAGAAACTGTCGTTCACTTTGTGTGTACCGGTAGTCCCCATAACTACAGGGCGAGTACAAGTAATTATGCTCCTTTGTAATGCACTCCCAACTGATGCAAGTTGGTTGCTTTGCCCTTTCTGGCTAAGTTGTGCTGTTCACCCTCAGATCCTGCACCCAGGATACTCCAAGCAATGGAGAAAAACTGTAAGATGTTGAATTCAACTGCAGGAAAAGTATGGCGTGTACGTAGCACTGAAAGGATTCGCATGCATTCTACCTGCAAAGAGAGTAATGATGGATGTGATATTTCCAATGGAAAGAAATATGGCATTGAAAAGACAACAACCACTCTCTGTAATTCACTGAGAGTAAGACTTTTCTAGTAATCAGTTGAAATTGACAAATTAGTTAATTTTTGGACTATAAAAAGGGGTTTTGAGGGATGACTGCATTTACGCAGTGAGTGTTTTGCTGCTTTTAAAATAATCACAGTGTTGTGATTAATGCTTTGTGATCTAAAATATATCTAACAAGTGCACTCTGGTGCTTATTGACTTTGTTACTAAAATTTACTACAAAATTGGCTGCAGATTGGAAGTATGCGCATTGTTTGCCAGAAAGGTGTAAAGTTCAAGTTTTTCACTGATGAGGCCAAAAGCTAGAATGTTTATGAACTTTGCAGAAAATGAGTGCAAGTAGGACTAACATAGCCAGCTCATTGTGAACTTGTGAAGAAAAATGTAGCAAAATCAAAGGTTTAGATTGCTGTTGTTTTGACAGCATAATGCATCATTGTATATTTACACTGTATGCAGATGATATGCAAATGACATGTTACAATTTATGAAAACTTCATGAATTTAATCCAATATAGAAATCAACATACATACCAAAAATATAAAAAGAACCAAAATAGTTCACACATTTGGGATGGGACTTTCCTTTTTATGCACCCTTTTTATTTGAGACAGATTCTGTGTCAAGCTTTGCTTGCATATAATTTTTGTACAACATGTAAATTTCCTTTCAGAACTTCGTACAGTTCTTTGCTTGCTGGAGTTATTTTGTACTTTTTTGGTTCAAAAATTTCAGTCTTGTATATTTATTTGTAATATAAAAAGGTGTAATATATATATCTATATTTCTTTTGGCTGTGACCGGGATGTAAATACATTTGTGTGTGTACAGTTATGGTGACATAGTTGTTTATGCCCTTTATTTTTTATTTATTTTGTTTTCTTTGTTATTTTGAAAGTATTTTTCCAGTTGCAATTCCTCATGTATCTCATTCATACAATTTCCTGCAGTCCAGTTTGTGTTTTTGATTTGGTAACAGAGTACTGAACATATTTCCAAAAGCTAATGCAACTTGCCAGTCTTTTTGAGGAGAGTTTATTGTTGCATGCATTGTGTTACCTTGGGATTAAGGGCAGATCCAGACCTAATTACTGGGGGGGGGCACTTTTTTCTCAAGGGAGCTTAAAAATTGGTGAATTTTTTATTTGTAATCCATTATGGGCCTTAGGGATGAGGCTAAATTTAGAAGCTTTTTTACACATATTTGGAAGGAAAGAAAATGAAATAGTCTCAAATATTGTCTTTCACTATTTCAGTGGTGGCATGACTCCTTGAACCCCCCCCCCATCTGCCCCAGCTTGAAAACCATTTTCAAGAGGAGCTAACTGCATGCTTATCATATCTTCTGCATCAAAACCATATTTTCAAGTTCACCCAATAGTATATTGACAAGGAGAATGCAGTGTGAATACATACATCGGTTTCAGGGCAAATACTAGTATTAAAAAAAAGCATGATGACATCCACGACCCAAAGCCAAATTAGCATCATTAACTTGATTGGCATAGTTTGCGAAATTGTACTTGAGTGGTGTCATTCGTGTCCCAGTTTGCCAGGGGGAGATTTAGCTGTATTCTAATGAACTTTTAAGTCAACAAACGAATGTAACTTGATTATGCTCCAGACAGTGTATTTCAAGGTTTTCCTTGCCCCGGCTATTCCAGAGTATATAATTTTCATGGGTTGTTTGTCGAAGTGCACAGTTGTCAGGCAAATGACTGGGGTCAGAAAAGAGTCATTGCACAATTCCCTCATCATAAAGTCTTCTCATCTTTGCATGGATCCTGGCTAAAACGAATGTTACTGCTGGAATGCATTTGACACTGCATGTGCATGTTAATGGGTGCGTTCGCGCGGTTTCTCCTTTTAACACGAGTAGGATGGGTGCGCATTACACTCGGGTACAGGAGTATACTCCCCCTCTAGCGAGAGTATACTCTCGTTGACCCTCCGATCGTACTTCAGCCGTTCGAGCGCTCTGGAGTATACTCGTATTAAAGCGAGTAGCTCGCTCGAACGCACCCTTAAGTTTCACCTGCTCCCTTTAATTTGCAGTTGTGTTGGTGATTTTCTCATTCCAAATTGTGGACATAGTCAAGACAACATTCAAGACAAACATTTGTAAAGATGTATTTTGTGAGTAATCATGCCGTTGTGCCAAATATGCTAAAATATTCAAACATTCTGGTTGTAAAAAGTTTCTAAAAAAATGTACAATGGTGTAAAATAAAATGAAGATTTATTTGAAATGGTTTTATTCCCTACCAGAGAAGAATAATGCTTGAACACTGCCGTGCCTCCCTTCTTTCATTTGTGACAAAGAGTGCTGTATGGCATCACAGATATTGTACACCTTGGCAACCAGCTTGGAAGGTAAATAAGGCCAAGTCTAAATCTGCTGCTTTGGACTGTGGCTTAAGTTTTTGATGTTGAAACATTACAGCGAGTAGCCATAGCCATAAACCAAAATCAATGTGCCATGCAAAGCCTAACCATTACTAACACTTGTGCCGCACTAACTATACTGGTTCCTGATTGCATTTTGTGCAGGGGCTTAGAAGCCAGAAACAGACTGTATGCAGTTCCTTGAAGTTTTTGTTCCCTCTGTCCTGAACACAGTTCTGAGCTGTTACAATGTCTCTTTGATGGCATATATATTCAAACGGGCAAAAGGCTCACACAATGGTACTCGGATACGGAGAACAACAGACATTTAGATTGTAGTCCACGTTTAAAATGGCAAAGTAAATATTGAACTCACTGCTACGGATTATTCGCACTTGTTAATTTCAGCAATTAGAACTTTAAAGGTTGGGAACCAAATATTAGTAGTTTAACCTTTCGAAGTGCTTTAACCTAAAAGTGGCTGGCTACTTGCTCCAAGGTTGGTTACCCAAATATCCACAATATCTGTGTCTGACATGACAAACTTCAACCCAGTTGGATTCATTTTAGTTTCATGAGCTCAAAATGTTTAAAATAAAAACAGAAGTAGAGCCATCAATTTTTTTTTCAAATAAACTCTTAAGACCTGTCTTGATACTGGGTTGTAGGTTGAATACACACTCTCTCACATGCGGGCTTTCATTAACCAAAGAAACTGAATTCATTGTGAAAAACATTCAAAGCAAGCTCTCTGCATGTAACAGTGCTGATAATGGGCACCGGAACCAACTAGATTGAACAGGTTGACACTGGCCGGCGCTGGATCTAAGTGGACCCTGGTGCTGTCCTGTTTGACCTTTGCATCTGTATGTTGCCATAATGACAAAAACTATTCGGAAATTATCAGCCCCTCCCTCCCCCCTTTCCAAGTTTTATGTGCAGCTCTTACGACCCCCAAAACTAAGAAACAAATTAATACTTAATTTTAATTACTTTTTTTGACCTTTACCCGACTTATATTAATAAACACTGTATACTCAGTGCTTGTGCGAGAGCTTCCGAACAAATTCACAAGCTTACTTAAAGGGCAAAAACCCGTAATTAAAATTAACATTTCCCCGACGCAAAGTACATTTTGAAATTAATACTTTATAATAAAGTGCCTTGCTAACTGCTAACAACTCTTTTTGAAATAAAGCATTTATTTTTTTTTCAATTAACAAAAATTTCCTCTGCCTCTTGTTAACTCATGTATTAAACGATGAAAACTAGCAGGGGGTGCTTCCTCGCGTTAAAAAGAGGTTTACAGCCAGACTACAAAAGTAACACCGCTTTAAAATCAGGCTGTGTCGTTTTCCTTTTTTCTTTTTTTTTTTGAGGGAATGTTTTTCAGGATAGGAACACATACTAAAGCTTCAACCTATTCTCAGAAGAGTTTTGTTTCTGTGGCAATGTGCAGTGTTTGATATGATTGGTCAAACAAGCAGTACCTGGGTGACGGGCTTAGCCAGCGTGTGAAGGTACCTGTATACTGCAAGCTACCTGTCCAACCTATGCAAACTGAAGCTGAGATTATAAAGGGGGTTTCCCAAATCTAAGCTTCATCTGCATACATGGCTTTGTCTGATTTTCTCACCCTTTGGTCTTTGGAGTTTACAGCTCAATAACATCGAGATTTTGCAGAGGAGGTTTGAAATGTATGGTCTCGACCCAAAGATGGAAGTATATTAATTTAGATGCTGTATGTGTTACAATTTGAATTGATATGTGGGGATGAAGCCTTTTGACAGAGACGAAGCTGAAGATTTGAGAACTTGTGTCAGTTCCAGTGAGAAGAGACACAAGATGGCAGATGAAATGGGTGGATAGTAGATCGATTCATTAAGTCCCACCCCGTTGAACATATGGGCATCAACATGTTCCTCCCAACTACCGCACCACGAGCTCCTGAAGTACATGTCAGGTGTAAGTGCACCTTACTTGGACTTTTAGTATAGCAGTTTGATTTAGCAATCACGGCTGTAATCGTATGGGTTAATTGGATCCATTTACCGGGAAATGAAGTCGTTGGGGCGATTCATATAAAGAGTGACCTGTAAAATTGGAATATAAGAGGGGACTGAGGGTTGTCAGAAATGAAATCTAAGTTTAAGGAGAACATTACAGTTTTCAGTTATACATTGGGCAGAGAAGACTGTGACATTTTTAGGCTCTATATGGAATTACTCAGGGTCATAACCCATCCCACAAATAAACCTTCCAGCATTACACCTTGGACAATTAGTCCTCTCACCATCGCTCCACCCGTTCGTTGGTGTTTCAAGTAATAATCATCAATGTCATTAAATAAATCCCAACATGTTAATGTACAGTTGTAGCGAAGGATTGTTACTTGTCAGGAACTAATAGCCTTTGACCGTCCTTTCTTTGTTTAAACAGCCATCTTTGCTCTGTGTTCAACCTTATGATGATTTAATACAATGTTTAAGTAAGGTAAGGTTGGGAAAACGCCCTAGTATTTGTGTGCACAATTATGTGTAATAGAAACAAAAATACCAAAATGAAGAACAAGCATCAAAGTAACTATAAAACATTAAAAAAATCCTAACGCGAAATCAGGAATTAAGATATTTAGTAAATTATGCAGAGTCGATAAAATTAGTGCGATACTTGTAACATTAAAGGTCAGATTTCACTCACAGTTAAGATCGGGTTGATGTTGAACTTGAAAAACTTCCACATTTATTCTAAGCAATACCACCCACAAGTATGATTGTAACCCGTTCTACTATAACTCCTAATAACAGATTTCGTATTTATTTAAGCTGTTAACTTTCAAATGTTATATTGAAAAACGAAGTAAATGTGACTGGAAGTCAATCAACAGTTTGTTTGATATGTTAGCCCCTCCTACCTTTTGGGCGAAGTTATCAACCCTATTGTGTAAATATACATGCTTGCTACGATCATACAAGGACCACTGGCTTTATAAACATGTCCTTGTATGTGGTACGTATACATGAGTTTAATTGTGTGAGCCCAGATGTCGTATGTCATGAAGTGGCTCAGCCAAAGCAATTGGGCCACTTCCTCAGCAAAACTATCTGGTTAGTCGAAAGAACAAGGCTTATTAAGTGGTTCTTCTCTGCTTAGCACATAGTATGTTAAGCAACACTTCTTTTTAGCTGCTACACGGTGATAATATTGAGTTACGCACTGTACTACTGTGTAGCTTTCATCTAATAAAAAGTAGTGTTTATAAATCTTCACGGAGTAGATTACCGATCTTGATTGGACGATTCGAGATTAACCTGCGATATGCACGTGACTACGCCCAGTAACCGGTCAGCGTAATGGATCGGGAGGGGTTTTTACAGGTGTGCACACAGTACATGCACGTATCCACGTGATCCCGCCTTGCGAAGCCATTGTAAATCCCATTACATGTGTAAAATACATATATAGCGAGATATGGGACGGAGAGACCCCCCTTGTGTTGGTCATTATTTCACTGGAATCTGAGGAACTCTTTTTAGACATCTTGGGGGATGTGTTTGGGTGGCAATAGTCTAGAGTGTGTATAGCGATTGGACATGTTGGGGGGTACCCCTCGGTCTCATTTCTTGCTGGATATAGTAAATCAGTGCACTTTGGATTCTGTCACGCATGCAAGTCACTTTATGTGCAATAACTGGAGGGCAGTTGCAGTTTCCGCTGGGGTTATTTCTTACAGAAAGTATTGGTACTGTTCAAGAATTGCATGTTGTGTGGATGAAAATCAGTACTTGTTTGGTTCATATTGTAACGTAGGGCTTCAAAGTTATTAACAACTTTTACTTCTAAATGGCAAGCAAGTTTCGTCGTTTAAATGCTTGAAGTATTGTAGCATCTTATTCAACTGGAATAGTGGTGTAAGCTGTTAAGTATTGAAGTTCCAATGGTATTACATTGCATGGCGTTGAACAAACGCACATTTCTATGCATTACTAGATGGATTGTACCTTAAAATGTGTCGTAAAAAGGTGAAGTTGAAAAGATTATCAGAAATAAATTTCTGTATTTATGTGATAAGTTGCCGAAGAATGTCTGAGCTAAATGAAATGAAATCTACAAAATAAATGTGCTCTACCTTCTACTGTTGTCTGTTTCTTTTTAACTGTAATTTTGCTCTGCCTTGAATCATTATTAATTATAATGTGCATGCCATGTAATGTCTCATCATCGCTTCCACTTGTCCGCAGTATTTGAGACATTAAAAAAATCTCCAGCCTGACCCCCCTCCACTGGAAAAATTCCTTGATCCGCCTGCTCCCATTGAACCTTTTTACAGCGAATCCTGTCATTCGTAATTGTTGCATTTTCACAAAAGTTGTGGGAGCAATGGACACACAAGGCATAACAGCTCAGGCTTGCTTCTTGTTCTCTACCGTCTACTATTCAATGAGCACGTGTCGCGCCTGTGAGCTCCATCCATTGAGTGCTCGACAAAAGTACCAAAATGCGTCACGCAAATTTCACTGGACGAGCTAATCGAATGCGCCACCTCGCGTGCAGTCGGGGTGGGTAACGGACGAGCTCGCAGCCCATGAGCTGAGGGCGGGATGGTGGGGACGAGTGCAGAAATCGAGTGATTTTTTCCTCGTATTCAAAGACAGCAAAGTGCGCCGATGATACGTACCACTCTGTTGGCGTGACACCCGCGATCGTCATCGGAGCCCTGGGAACAATGAAGTAACATTTCGCGCGGGACCATTTCGAATTCGTTTGCGTCGTTTTTCTGGCTGTGTGGTGGGAGGTCCACTGACGACACGTTTAACTTTTCATCGTTTTAGCTGTTTGTTTATCCGTTTTTAATTGTAATTTCTTAAGTTAGCAATGCTGAACTGAAGCTGGAAACCGCAGGGACAAGGCTGAGTGTCAGAGTGAAGGTAGTCAGCTAGGCAAATGTTTCGTTGGTAATTTTCTTTTGGCTAGGCTTGTTGAGTGATGTACCCTCAGCTAGCTGGTCAGTGCTATACGCTCACTTGGCGCAGCTAGCCCCTCATTCGACACACAAATTTGAATTTTCCACCTCTGTAGCGTTGTGCCTTGCAAGAGAAAAAAGTTGACTTTTCGCCCCTAGTACCGCCGTGCAGGAGCCATAGGCCAATGTTTACCTCAGGATACATTGTAAGTGAAATTTCATTAGACTCCAAATTCTGATTCAAAAATCGTACTCACTGCTACAAAGTTTGGATGAAATTTTATTTTGGCTCGATTTTCCTTTTTTTTTTGATCTGAAGTGCAAAATGAAATTTGTTAAATATGCCCAAAATATGATAAGTTTCTAAATCTTTTGGTTGAGTACGCAAGTGAACGAAAAAAAATAGAATTTATGAACTTTAAAGAACGTCTTATAAATGCTTATAAAAATATGGGATTTTAAAATTTTTACAAGTAAACCAAATTGAGGAATACTCGGCTAAATTCTTGGTCAGTTGTTTATACACCACCGATTTTGAACTACAGACACTGAAATTGTTCACAAAGGTCCAACAGCATGTTATTATAGGTTATCCTCTTAGTATTTAACCAAATGAGTTCAAGGTTTTTTCAAGAGGTTTGTCAACAATGTATGAGGAAATACAAGTGAAAATTAAAGAGCCCCACCCATGGGTGCAATAAACTAGTTACAAGTATAGTAGGACGGAGGCACTATTTACCACAATTCGACGCTTGTTTGTTACGTAATTCTCCCCGTCTTCTAGTGCCATTGGCTCTGTTTTTGTCTATCATTTCTGTCTTCTTTGTGCGGGTCATGATGTTGCATTTTGCAGGAGGTCAGTTGGGCTCAGTCTTCCCTTTGGGGTCTATATCTCGTTAGTTGCCAGAGGCTGTTGTGGATCTATTGATAATGGACCACTGTCATTTAAGATGTGCCAGGAAGAATATGAGAACTGCCTGTGTTGGGGAATGTAGTGGGCAAGGTAAGCCTGATGGGTTCGACCTTGGGTGTAGGGGACCCTTTGATTGATGAAATATGATGGATCTCGTGTCTTGACTTGATGTGTTCTGAATC